AGTATTCTTAGTTTTATAACAAGTAACTAAACTAAGGCAGCTTCTTGTCTCACTGAAGGTATTTGCAACGGTACTAAACAGACGTTCACTTGGTACGCTCGTAGGTGGTGCACAAAGATAACTTTAAAATAACGAAAAATTCGTCCTACATAGGGACGGAAACTATAGAACAGCAGTAGTAGTACATTTTACCCCACTAGGACATCTCACAAGCGATAAACACCCGATGACACAATGTGCCACCATGTGAATGAGGATCACCCGTGGAGAGGTCCCGGAATCCGCGTTAAGCCATTAGGCTTTATTTATGGCCGGGCTATATCGCGGCCCTGGCAAGAGCCTGGGTGGGGCTTCAAAACAACGAAAAATTGCATTCTACTAGGGGATTTCTATTGTGGAGCAGCTATGGTATGATGCCTTAGCTATAGTAAAGTTTAAACTAAGATTACCTGATTCTTGAGTCTGTGAAACTCTGTTTCTAGGAAGCTAGGGGCAAATTTAATTAAAACTATGATGTCTGACGGTAACTAATTTATTCAGGTGACATGCATTTTTTAGTTCTTGGTAGTAGCTATTCAAAGATAACATGTTCAACCTTTTTAGGGCTTATAACTAGAAAAAAAAAGAGTGATTGCCCTTTTTGATATTGGCTGAGACCAGTGTTGCCACTTTTCTTTGATATTTCCAGAAATCATGATTTGGCTCGGTGCTATGGATATCGCAACCCTTCAGCCTTGATTCCATAATAGGTACCGTAAATCTGGGAGAAATGTGGCTTTTCTTTTGAACGGGAAACATCTAGAAACATCCCCCCCCCCCCTTTCCTTTAAAAAAAAAAGAATTATGTAGAGGTTAAACAGAAGATCTCGGATTTGTCCTATAGGCAAGCCATCTCGAATGAGATTAAGTGCTCCGATCTTCTCCTGAGTATGTCCCGAAGTGTTTTTAAGCTAACAGCTTCCTTATCTTCAGGCTCACGCATGGTGTTCATATCTCGTAGCTCCAGTTGGTAGACCCAGGGTATGCAGTCTTTTTATCGAAAACTCTTTTTTCCACGAAACTGAAATTCTCACAGCGTTCAATCTCTCTGATGGCATTGATGATGTCTCTACTCTCCATTGATAGCATATTCCTGATAATCACACTGCCAGCCAGGTTGTCTGCTCTCTCATTGCCTTTCACACCAGCATAGCCTTGAACACAAATGAATGTGATTTTGCGAAAGGCTGCATGCTGTATCAGATGGAGCTGCTGTTTCCTTATACGCCCTGCTTGATATTCTCTAGCGTGCTCACTGAGTGGCGGAGAAAGCATACATTGGTGAATTCCTGAGTTTTCAGCCATTCTAGGGTTTTGTCACAGCCATGACCACCATTGTCATGCTGCTGGTGGTAAAAGCAAAGGCTCCACTGTCTTCTTCGATGACTTTTCCTTTAGTTCTTCACTTCGATTTTGACGAATCACAGAAACATGTGTATATATAACAGCATCTTTCGGTGATGTGTGTTCCGCCACCAATGATTTCACTTCTGCATCAACTGTTGGTGGTGCCATCAAGGCATTGTCTTGTCAGGATAATAAACACGGCAACGTACTACTTGTATTCGTTTGGTATGGGTATTCGTGCCTCTTTACGATTTGTGTCTTGAAGGGAAATCACCAGTTGAAGTACTGTCTCTGCACGGCTCAACTGACTGACTGAATTTCTACCCCACCAGGACATCACACAAGCGATAAACACCCGATGACACAAAGTGCCACCATGCGGATGAGGATCACCGTGGAGAGGTCCCAGAAACCGCGTTCAGACATTTGGCCATAATGATGACCTGCCTATATTGCGGCCCCTGGCAAAAGCCAGAGTGGGGCTTCAAATAACAAAAAATTACGTCCTAAGAAGGACGTAAACGATTACATATTAGACTACGGCTCAACTGAGACTGGCCTGCTTTTTATATCTGAAAGATCTAGTAGGCATCTCATTGCACTACATTATTTATATGTGGTGCATCCAAGTATGATGCAAATTGCTTCATTTTGTATCTTTTGTAATCTGTCAATTTTTGTCTTGCTGAGTGTGAGGATTGTCCGTGCATATTCTATGACAGAGAAGTTCAAAGTGGGTCAGAACTATAGGAAGCAGCCAAGACTGGAAAAACCACGACCGTCTCCAGCTTTAAATTCTGATTTCACTCTGTCATTTTAATCCGTCGTCTGCTGAAGCCTAACTAGTAAAAATTACGATTCGAAAAACAAGTGGGTGTCGTAGAAATTTAGAACTTCTGCATTAATTGTCCCTACTTTTGCGTATTATTTATTTGTAAAAAATGAGAAAAATTAAAACAAATATGCATGTGAAAGTATGAGAAGAATATTAAAACTTAAAGTGCATTATTAAATAAAAGTGAAATGGTGAATGAAGTGTTTAGAAGATTTGATGGGTTGATTTTTACATAAACAAGATGGCGGAGAGAGGTTATTCTTGAAGACACCTTTACTTTAAAACTTGTCCACATCAGCCTCGTTTAAAGTTGCTGGACTTAAATTACTTTCCAGTTCTCGTAATTGCCAGAGCGAAAGGTGTGCATCATTCCCACTCTTCAACAGTTTATGCTTCTTCTTCTATCAGCCAAGCCAATGCGCGCTAGATTTTTCTAACCTTTATCGAGTACATCAGTACTACTAGTAGTACTAGTACAGAGTGCAGCACACACACCCACACAGCGTGACATGCCTTCATTATGATTATCCCTTAACTTTTTGAATTCATGTCGGTCACCCAGGGCAAGAAAAGTGCAGAGGCGTTTACACTTTAATGTGAGCGCAAAGAGAAACCCCATGAAAGAGATGAGTGGTGCGTGTGCTGTTACACAGCTAGCAGCTTGCTTCACAGTGACATAGCTGGGTAAAGAATTCACATGGGTGCATACTGAGCGATTCAGGGAATCTAATCAAGAAAATCCAGGGCTATCTTTGTGCTGGCATATGCAGGTGTTCAAGGCAAGAAGCATGCAGATTATTTGGCATACAAAGGGTTTAACGACTTGCCCTGCCACTGGACTGGAATAATGTCATTAAACTTTTTTCAGGCCCATGAATTTTGAGACTTGGCTCACGTTAATTTCCCTTTGTAAAAATTGCAAAATGGATGGTGTAAAACAATAAAGAATATATTTCTAATCCCTACAAAGTTTATATATATGTGAAATGTTTATGTCTGGCTACTCCAGGTGGCACCCCCATGTCCTTCCCCATTTTCTCTGTGATATGTACCTCACACATATACACATATATATATATATATATATATATATATATATATATATATATATATATATATATATATGTGTGTGTGTGTGTGTAGTTACTGACATTAAAAACTAATACACAACAGCATGCAAATCAGTATGTGCAGGATACACAATCGATGTAGACTGATTCAGGCAAAATCTGAACTTCATAATCAACACACACACAGCATTGCTCGGGCCTGAAAGAGTAAATGCGTTGTGAGGTACATATCACAGAGAAAATGGGGAAGGACATGGGGGTGCCACCTGGAGTAGCCAGACATAAACATTTCACCAAGGGCACAAGGCGTCTAATTAGTGAACACAGAACGGGTGTGATCAGTCATTTTACTCTTATGGAGCTATTGAGGAGGAGATTGGGGCACTGTGGATCTATGTGATGATAGTGTTCACTAATCACTTCATTCTCTTATTATTTTGACTGTCACCAATTTTATGATCATATTCATTTGTACTGATAAATGTATTTATTAAAAACTGCAAGAAACTTGAGTTTCAGACCACAGAAGGCAAATCAAAACAGTTCCCCTGTCTCATGCATGTTTGTTTGTGCTTGGGGTTTTAGTATGTGTGTGTCTGTCATGATTGGAATCCAGGTATCATAGCAAAGTGACAGAGTTTCATGTTCAAAGATATGTTGGAGAGAAAAGTAATAGAGGAAGTTTTCAGGAGTAAACTAGAAGACTTAAGGTTCGTTAACAACATCAGGAGCTGGAGTGGTAGAAGTTTTTTTGAAGGCATGATGAAGCCATAAGGCAGAGTGTGTTGTAGTCTAATTGCATTACAGCCAACCTCCAGTTTAGAGATGGTATTGACTGTCTGAAATTTGTAATGCAACATTATTCAGTTAGGCTCAGTTATTTTTATTCTTCATATTTAAAAAAAAAAGTGTTTGCCTTGAGATATTTACCAATTGTATGGAAAGTATTAGAACTGCATAGAGAACATCTAGTAATGTGAGCTGATAAAAAGAAGAAGAAGCAAATCTCCTCATTGTTTTCTTCTTCTGCTGCTCCTGCTCCTGCTGTAGCTTCTTATTCTTCTTTTGGATGAATCACGAGAACTTTACGCTGGAGTTTACAGCCATGAACATGCAGAAGAAGGAGAAGAAAATGTAATAAACGCTACTTATTTCAGTTATAATCCTCAGGGTTAAACTGGATATTATATATTGTAAATACTGGCTATCCTCTGAATATGGGTCCCAAATTATTGAGGCTAAAAAATTACCAAAACAGGGCCTCAGTCATATGTAAATTGCGGACCTCTTTCCGGCGACTAAACTGCCACCACCGAGAGTATTCCCCGTGCGACTATACATGGCGCAGAGGGGAGCTAAACAAGATGGCCTCAATAATTTCGGACCATTTTTCGGAGGATAGCCTAAATACTACTACTGCTACCAAATCCACAAGCTAGATAAATTAACAGCTAGGGTAGAATAAGCCAGACTGATACATATGAGACAAAAGAAATGACAAGAAAAGAATGGTTTTTGTGAAGCAGAAAGCTGGGTAAATGAGAAATCAATTATGGTTAACTTTTTGGATAACAAGAAATATGTGACATGTAAATTGTAACTAATTTAGCAGTCCTATGGTACTGAAAGATAATATTAAAACTTTAATCAACAGCTTTTTTTAGCCTTTTTCTGTTTTACTATATATTTGCAGGTGACTGTTTTGTACAATGTTGCCACGTCATACAAGAAATATCTTCAGACGACTGAAGCACTTACTTGTGAATCCGTGGATAAAACACAGACTGTTTCATTCAAGTTTACCACGAAGAACTGGTGTTGATCATGAAGCCATGGCAAAAATTAGAAATATTGGAGTAATAGCACACATTGATGCTGGTAAAACCACAACAACTGAGCGAATGCTGTACTATTCTGGTTTTTCTAAAAATTTAGGTAAATAACATGTGAGAAGAATTCTGTTTTATGTTCTAATGACGGGTTATAAATTAGACATCAGTGTATTCTGTTCAGCTGATTGTTTCTTCTTTATTTACTAATTCACCGTCATCATCTTGTTGTGCGATCTATGTGTCACATAGAGTGCACAGTCTGTTTCTCCATTCTGCTCTACTCTGCAATATTTTCAGTGTCATGTGAGCTACCGTATTTTCTATGAACAAGACACCCTACTTTTTCAGTCAAAAATTAAGAAATAAATATTTTAACCCTTCCGAGACGACACGGCCAAAATATCAGCCCAACACAAACTAGCCAAAAGGACGACTCGGCCGTTCGGTCGGCCCTATATAATAGAAGCCTTGATATTGGCTGGCAGGTTTTCGTGCTAGCCAGTCAGACTGCTTCTTGCATATCTTGCACATGTGGGCTGTTCATTGATGGCTTTTGAGAAAGTTTGATGTGTTCTGTAATTTTACATCAATTTTCTTCTGGGGCTACCTGTGCCCAAATATGGCAAAAAAGACTGTGGCTCATAGCAACCAAAACAGCTGGAGGCAGGAAAATGAGTAGAACCATATGCCAGATTTGTCTGAAGGGCCTTACTTCCCAAAATACAGGTGTCAGGACTTATTCAAGCTTCAACTATAAAAAATACACAGTTTAAAAAAAACGGCTTGCATCAATTGTGCAAATCAGAATATTTAATTTGAATAAAAATATTAAGATTTCAGTTTGATTCATAAATATTCTGTTAGTTCATTTATTTTCCTACATGAATATATATATTTTTGTATATGTTAATTAAACGCTTTATTCTTTATAATTTTTTGTGTAAGAACTATGAGAATCCCCTCCTGATGGCTCCGTCTTCTTAGCACCAAAACTCCAAAAATGGCTCCGTATTCAAAGGGTTAAACACACTCCATATATAAGACACCCCCCAGTTTTATATATTTCTTTACCTTTTATTGTTATTTTCTTTAGTTTGTTCTTTTTAAGCGAGTAATATTGACCTGCTTCAACATGTGAATGAAAATTATGTTGAGGAAATCTGTAATACTTACTTACTTAGTCCCTTCTCTTCTACCTTAGGGTGAAAGGATTGCCAGAGAGATTGCCAGTCATCTGTATCAGCAGTTTTCTTTCCTGCTTTGTTCCATTCCAGTCTTCTGTCAGTTAGGGACTGTTGAATATTGTCTTCCCAGTGAACCCTGGGTCGCCTGGAGGTCTGGTTTCCTGGTTCTTAGCCTCCCATGCCTCTCACGGTGGCCAATTTTCTCCCATTCTGGATGCATGTCCAGACCATCGTGAATGTGACCAATCCACTCGGGATTGTAAAGACTGGGTATCAAGATCTTGACGTAGTGTCTGATTGCGGACTTTGTCCCTTCTTGTCACTTGGACCACCGTTCTTAGATATCTCATTTCTGAGGCCTGAAGCTGGCTTCTGTGAGCTGTTGTCATTGCCCATGACTCACACCCAAAGGTCAGGACTGTTACATAGGTAGAGGGGTAAACAACCATTGTCGTCCTCTTGCCAGTTTATCTTTTGCCTAGTCTCTCAGCAGCTGTTTTTTTTTCCGTCTTAATGCCTCCGTTTCTGTCTAATACAACTCCAAGGTATTTGAACTGGTTGACCTGCTTCAACGCATGCTGTCCCACCATGATCTGGTGTTTCTTCTCCTCTCTTGAGATCACCATGGTTTTAGTTTTAGAGATACTGATAGTCATCCCTTTCTTTTCAAGCTCTTCCTTCCAGACAAGTAAGTTGGACTGAAGGTGTACCTCTGATTTAGCTATCAGGGCCGCATCGTCTGCAAATGCCATCTCTGATATACAGATTGGTCTCATCTTCCAGTACCCTACTGAGTACTTCTTTGTCTTCTCCTTAAGGGTCTTGATGACATCGTCCATCATAAGAATGATGTGGTAAGGTGAGAGAATATCACCTTGTCTAACACCGCAAGTGGTCTTAAATTCTTCTGACTTGGTCTGCTGTTCTTACGTAATATCTGCAGCTTTTGTAAAAACTCTGTATTGCACTGATCAGGAGTGCTGGGATGTTTTTCCCTGCCAAGCAGTCCCAGAGCATGTTCCAGGGTACCTTATCAAATGCCTTTTTTAGATCCAAAAAACATAGGTGTATCTCACTCTTATATTCAAGGGCTTTTTCATTCATCTGTCTCAGTGTGAAGATAAGGTCCTGAGTACTTCGGTTTGCTCTGAAGCCGCTTTGGGCCTGATCCATCTGTGGCTCTACCAGACTTTTAAGTCTCTGCACGAGAATTCTAGAGTAACTTTTACCAGGAATGCTGAGGGATATGCCTCTGTTGTTTTCACATTGTCTGTTTACACCCTTTTTAAATATAGGTATAATGATGGCAATCTCCCAATCTTTTGGTATAGTTTTGCTACACAAGGCTGCCTGGAGAACCTTCAGTAGAAGGTGCTCACCTGCGACTCACATATATTTGACAATTCTTTTAAGCTTTTCCCAGCTTAATCTTCTCCTGTAATGCTTTTTATATGTTTTCTTCTCTGTTGGCAAGATTTTTAACATTATTCTAATAAAAACTCATGTTGACTTCTAAATATTTCGTTCGAAGTTGGAGTGCACCAGTCTGAGAGGCAAGGAACCAGCAGTCTGAACACAGATAAGCCAGATATGTAAAATGCATGTGCATGCAATACTCAATTCTTTTAACAGAGGTAAATTTCAGAAGCGAACGAACAGCCAGGGCTATCCACCAGAGTTAAATGGGGGAGTAATGCACGAGCACTTGCGTCAGAGCAGCTGGCCTTTTGAAGCAGAAGACTGCTTTTTCAGTTATGATAATTATGTTTTGCAATGTTCTTCAGTGGCTGTGTGGTTTTGCACATAGTTTTCTCATTTATTTGACAGGAGATGTGGATCGTGGTGACACAGTGATGGACTACATGGAGCAAGAACGGGATAGGGGAATTACCATTACATCAGCTGCAATTACATTTAACTGGGACGGGCACAAAATAAACCTCATTGACACACCAGGTACATCTCTGTGTATTTATATTATTTTTGTACAGATTTTCTGTTAAGCACTGTCATTCATTATCTAAACTCACTCGTCCGAGATGCTGCAAATCTGGCATTTCTGCCCCTTGCAAATCTGAGAGAAGGTATTGCTGCATTTGGCCAGTCCCCAGTCAATCTTGTTAATGACGCTGCTTATTTTTGCAACTGTGCCATGTTTAGGAGATCAGAATATGATTATATTTACTGAAAAAAAGCTTTGGTGGTGTATTGTTGAAAATTGGTTTTCATGAAATAGCATTATGATGTTACAGTTTTTTTTTCTTAGCCATTATAATTGAGGTCAAGAGGTCAAAGTATGAGACACTATCATTTTGTTTAGACCCATGGGAATAATGGGGTCGCCCTAGTGTAACGGTTAGACACTCGACTGCCAATTGAAAGGTTGCGGGTTCGGGTCCGTCCTGATGGAGCAAATCTTTTTTTTTTTTTTTTTAAAAATGACCTTGGCTCCCAGCTTGACCCTGCTTTAAATGGGTTCAGATACAGTCCTGGAAAGTAAAGACAGCTGGCGTGCTTTTGACATCACCCCACTGAGTATATCTATAAAATATAGGTCTAGCCCTATATGCCTGAAAGCGTATAAAATTTTGTTTAAATAATTAGCGACCTGTGATTGGTAATTCCAGATTTCCTGACCTTCTCCCCAAACATTTTGGGGATGGGAGAGTTAACAGTATTTTCAGTCAAAAATACTTTAAACTTGTGCATAAAGTAGCAGACAGTGTGTGAGCAGTTATTAGTGCTTCATCTTTTATATGTAGTTTGAAAATGCTAGAGAAATCTGCCCATGTTGAAGTGGTTAAAGGCCGTGCCTCATTCTCTGAAAGTCATATTATTTTTTTTTTTTTTTTTTTTTGTTGTGGGTTTTTGTTCTTGTTGTAAAAACATATATTTTGGAAATCTATTGACACTGTTTTTGGAACTATAGGGTTTAAAACGCCATCCCTCTCTTGGTCATATTTTCACAAAATTTCTCAAGACTTCCTTGAAATTTGAAAATCTATTGTACCTTACAAATCTAATGTGTCGTCTGACCAGAATGTGAGAGGGTGTCCAGTAAATGAGAGTTTCTCGAGTCCAGGAAGCAGGTTGCTGCCAGGTACATTGACGATGTTGCCAGAACTGATAATGATGAATAATCCCTAATAGACAAACAGGCAAGTTATTGATCGGCACTCATAGAAAGAAGTAGAAAGGTAGAAGAACACATTAGACAACATTAAAAATCGAAACTATAGTTGCTGTGCCATTAAATCGATCTTATCACCTCCAAGTGGTGTGTGCGCCTTGTTATGGAAACAAGTGTACTAACATACATGACCAGCTAGGCATCCCAAAAAAGGTGACTTCCTTGGCTTTAAATTCACAACTATGGAATGCGAACAGAATTAATCCCAAACCATTTAAATAGCACCATGTTACAGAAATTATAACCAAGCATAGGTCAAACAACAAGCACAACAACTTAGGCCGTGATGCTGTGTCAAGAATACAACAAGAAAAGATATAAACCCGAACGAAAAGTATATTAGCAAGCTTCACAATAGAACGAATACAAACAAAACGTAAACGTTGCGGCTATTGAGCCTTCATCAGCACACACAAAACATACAACAAACATTTAGGAATGGGATTTGATTGGTAAGTGTTTTTCTAGACACAAGGTGGAATTTTCCGCCTCAGCTTACAGCCGGTGAACACAGGCGAAAAGAAGAATAGGGGCTTTTTTTTTCCTACTGTCATGCAACGGCTCTAGCAGTACGGGCACCTTATTTAAAAAAAATCATCACAGTTCTTCTTACGTTTTTTGCCCCTAACACACAGTTATTGGCCGTTCTTTCATGCTTCATTTCCTTTCACAGGCGCTACATTACACGATGTCACCCCTTTTAACCACCCCACAACATTTAGAACTGGATAAATTTTTCCACTGGTAATCCTAGTTTCAGCTTCATAGCAAACGGGTCACCTCATAGTTGCTCCGCTCCTGTGCTAACGAAAAACACACAGAATGTTTATCACAGCCCCTTGTGGAAAGATTGACATACTGCTGTCTCATCATATCTAGCATACACACGCATTAAAAAGCATACTGTAGCCATGCAAAGTGATAAAACAAACAGTCCGACATTAGAAATGCAGTTCATCATGGATGGTAGCAGAAGTCACCAACAGATCAGCAATTGCACATGCTTCTTCTTCTTCTTCACTTCCTCTTTTACCGCTGTGGGTGTCGAGGGAGATATAAGGTTCTGTTTCTATCTCTTCTGGCCGCCTCGACCATAGGCACATCGTGCTGTTGTAGAGTTTCTCTGATGTTATCCTTCCATGTTGTTCTTGGTTTACCTCGTGCTCTACGTCCTTCTTCTCTTTCCATGTATGCTTTGTATGGTATGGTGTCACAAGGCATTCTCTCTAAGTGGGCAAACCATTTCACTTCCTGTCTTTGTATGTAATTTAGAATTGGTTCTGTGCCGACCTGTTCTCTTATGATCTCATTCCTGACCTTATCTCTTATGGTCACTCCTACAGCCCTTCCCAGACATCTCATTTCCATGGTTACTAATTTTCTTTTATGGTTTGTTGTGAGTGACCAAGTCTGGCACTGGTAGCACAGAGTTGGATTAAATATGCTTTGAATAAGATGTCTCTTTGTGCTGATTGGGATTGTCTTATGCTGTAAGAGGGGGACTAGCTGTCCCAATACTTGGTTTGCTTTACTGCATCTAATGTTAATTTCTTTATCCAATTTCCCATCTTCAGTGCACATGCGATCAATGTTAATCACATAATGGCACCACCAATACATTCGAGTCTGGATAAATAGAAGTCGCAGGGACCTAAGAAAATGCTTCCACTTATCAGGACTTCTACTTATCTGGACAGCACACACAGTAAAGAAAATTGACAGGACTAAGCTGGTCATGTCGACTAAATCCAGTTTGACTAAACCGAAATTCAGCTAACCCTAAATTCGGCATAACCGAAATTCGGCTTAACCGAAATTTGGCATTAGCTAAATTTGGCATAACCGAAATTCAGCATAACCAAAATTCGGCATAACCGAAATTCTGCTTAACTGAAATTCGGCATAAACAGAAATTCAGCACAACGGGAATTCGGCTAAACCGAAATTTAGCATAACCGAACTTTGGCTTAACCGAAATTCGTCTTAACCGAAATTCGACCTTACCTAATTTAGGCTAAGTCGAATTTTGGTTAAGCCGAATTTCGGTTAAGATGAATTTCGGGTAAGGCGATTTTCGGATAAGGCAAATGTCGGTTAAGACGAATTTCGGTTAAGCCAAATTTCGGGTAAGACGAATTTCGGTTAAGACGAATTTTTGTTAAGGATAATTTCGAAAAAGCTGAATTTCGGTTAAGGCGAATGTCGGTTAAGACGAATTTCGGTTTAGCTGAATTTCGGGTAAGCTATTGGAGGCGACAGTTGTGATTCCTCCGATGAATGTTAAAAATCTCTTGGACTACCAGAGTAACTAACAAGGATTGTTTGAAAGAAGCTAATGAACAAAGATCAATATATACAGCTATAAAGAAAAGACAAGCACTGTTATTTGGTCATGTGATTGGGGAAGGGGGGGGGGAAAGGGGCTTTGGAGAAAATTATGATGACTTTGAAGATAATGGGCAGAAGAAGGAGAGGCAGACAGAGAGATGATGCCAGATGGATTGTAATAGAGGCACGGAGGGATATCATCAGTGGAACTGACCTGGTCTTCCTGGTAAAATCTGTGGAAATTCATGTGATGATGATGATTATAGGTATTGCCCGCATTGGCTATCTGCAAACTGATAGTGAAGAACCCTAAAATATTTGCAGCATGTAGCAGTTGCTTCTGAGCCTGGAAACCAGATCATCATGCATATGTCTGCAAAGATCAGTGAACTGCAACCTTTTTCGGGCGCGCGCCCCAGTATATTCAAGATTCCCATGCCCTTCTTGAGTATATGGCAAGACCCACATCCCTCCAATTTCAAAATTGCTTGATGCCCCCCTTGCAACTCCCTCATGCCCACCCAGGCTGGAGACCACTGGCATAGATATAAGCCACCTTGGATGGCAGAGAATAACCATCTGCTGCCCCTATCTTTCCCTGAAAAGGAAACATGTTTAACATGTTGTTTTTGTTGATATTTTGTTACTGTGTTCTTTGTGAAGTTGTCAACTGTATTTTGAGTGAGTTCCTTGTTGCTTGTTTTCTTTCAGCTTTTATTTTCATCATGCAATAAAGCATGTGTTACAGTATGCCTTAAATTTTACTTTTTGCTGCATAGTTTGTCTTCGTATTGTTAAATAGTATGATAAACACACACTTCCAATTAACACATATATTTCACTGTAAATGTTACCACTGTGTTATTTTTACTCTGGAACTTTCAGGCCATGTTGATTTCACAGTGGAAGTTGAGAGGTCCTTAAGAGTATTGGATGGAGCAGTTGCTGTACTTGATGCATCTGCAGGTACTATATTTCTTTATAAAAATGGGTATCATCAACAGCTGTAAGGATTAATAAAGTTTCAGCATCTCACTTCATCCTGTTTTCATGGTGTGAAAGAGTGAAGAGTAACTAGGGAATTTGGCCGACTGCAGTCACTCTGCCTTGGCTGTTAGCAGAGCACAGGGAATCTGGTTGTCCTAGTATATAGCAACAGTGACAAATTATGTGCAGAAGTGAACATTATATTCACTGGAACACACTGCTCGGCAAACGATATGCTTATTCTCTGCTCCAGACTTCGTCAGCTCTGTCCTCGTTCGCAAATAACATTGTCTAAGGATATGAAGACTGAGCACTCAGCTCAGCTATCTCATATACACTAAAATACTCGCTGACAATACATTCTACATGTGTCCCAAACTCATAGACGATCTTTTGCAGGCTCACTTCATGCAGAATATGTTCACTCAAAAACACAGCTGTCAGTCATTCATCTTGACGACAAACAGTCTGGTATTGTTGGCTACTGCAGCTGCTTGAACATATTCAGTTTCAGGCGCATTCACAGTCGCTCTCCCATCCTTCAAGTTCCAGCACCAAATACAGACTGAAGTTCTGTCCTCTCACTATTTGTTTCATGTGCTCAGTCTCCATACCTCAACCTAGCTTTTCCCATGATACTTTCTGGCCAGAGCTTTTCTAAGCCATGCCTGAGAAGAAGAAAAAAAAAATCTTGACTCCCAGCAAACCCAACCTAACATGGGTATCAATAACTGTTCACCACATCACGAACAAAGTGATTGGAGTAATAGCACACATTGATGCTGGCAGAACCACAATATAGAAATATGAGTCCAGAATTATATGCCCAGGGCACCACTGCTGTGAAAAGGGTCCTTTACTTTTACTTTACTTATGCTTAGCATTTAATTGATAATATCTAAGAATAAGTGAATGAATGTTGAATGAGGAATTGACATCACAGCACTCAGGACACCCCCATATGTGCTCCGTCCCCATCTTCAGCAGCAAGCGAAGAGTTGCAATTACAATGGCACCAGTAACTGTCTGTGATCAAGTGAATGAGACAGTTGAATCACAGTTGAATCACAGATGGCATTAATCCAAATATTGTTTTCATATATTTTTTACAGGAGTGGAAGCACAGACTTTAACAGTATGGCGGCAGGCTGATCGTTATAATGTTCCTCGAATTGTGTATCTAAACAAAATGGACAAGCCTGGTGCCTCTCTGGATCTGTGTCTGTCTTCCTTGAGAAATAAACTCCACGCAGAACCTTTGGTTCTAAATATTCCTGTTGGATCCGGGAAAGAGTTCACTGGAGTCCAGGATTTAGTTCACATGAACCTGCTGAAATGGCCTAACAATGGCAAAGATGGTCGAGTATTTGAGCAGACACCCATAGACTTGAACAAGCCAGATGAATCTGTTGAGAAATTTCTGAAAGCAAGAACAGATTTGATTGGCCGGTTAGCTGATGTAGATGAACGTATTGCAGATCTGGTTTTATGTGACACTAAAATTGAAAGCTTTACAGCAGAAGATCTTAAATCTGCGATAAGATCAGCAACAATTAAGCAGAAGATTGTGCCAGTTCTGTGTGGAAGCTCACTGAAGAATAAAGGTGTTCAGCCTCTTCTAGATGCAATAATATTATATTTACCAAGCCCAGTAGATATAAGTTATGGGTTTGTGAAGTATTATAGCAACCACTTGTGTGCTTTAGCTTTCAAAGTGATACATGACAAGCAAAGGGGTCCATTAGCTTTCGTTAGAATCTATTCAGGAATGCTGAAAAGTGGCTCGTACGTTTACAACATCAATCGAGATATAAATGAAAAAAGCACTCGGATACTTCAGGTCTATGCTGATGAACTTCATGACATATCCAGCGCGGTTGCTGGCAACATCGTTGCTGTAGCCGGGTTGAAAGAAGTAAGGCCATTTATGTGTTGTTTTATTTGTTATTTGTTAATTTTGTAACACAAGAGACGATGTGTATCTCTGCTGCCTTTTCTTTTCTTTATTACAGACAATACTAAACATTTAAGTTAAGTAGTTGCCTAAACATTGATAATTTTTTTCTTTTTCAGCCTTTGAAATAGTTAAAATATGTTAAATTTACTTGTACACATACACACACACACACACACACACACAAAGAATAGACCAGTGTCCAAACACTTCAAAATTATTGTCAAATTTCATTTGTCACATAAAATGGAAATAGTTAGTATTTTAGAGTTCCAGTGATGGGAAAGATTTCCCCCCCCCCCCCACACCCCCCCCCCCTAATGTAAGACTTAAAGATTCAGTCATTTGATGCATGAGTAAATCCTATATGTGCAGGTTTTGATGTTTTAGAACAGATTTGGTGCAGAAATGGAGATGGCTAAAATTTGATAATTTCATAACCTACATACCATAATGACCCCCCCCCCCCCCCCCCCCCCCCCCCCCCAACTCAAATGGACCATGTCCAAACACTTCAGGATGTGCCCCAAACAGTTTCACACATTGGGCTTGTTAAAATCCCTCTACGAAAGGAAATAAAAAACAATGGTTTCTTTTTCAAAAACAATTACAGATGTTGCCAAAACAGAGGGGCATTGTTTGGCTTTTATGTTGTTGTTTTTTTCATCTATCGTTATTGTGTTGAATAACTGTATGAATATTATAGGATTTATTGGGGGCCTCTGTGGCTTTGTGGTCAGACCGTTTGCCTCGTGAAGGTCAGTTCACATCATGGCCACATCGTTCGGTTCACGAGTGTAGTTTTATGAAGATCCTTGGGGTCATCATCGGAGCTACAGAGGTTGGGCTTTGCGTAATGCTCTTGGCAGACGGCTAGCCATTCTGCTGAGAGAAACCGACGCATATGTTCATGTGGGATAAAACCTGAAGCAATAAAGTCGAACCTCTCTGACTTTAGCTTTATGTTTTACAATTGTCTAAACATATTCATAATTCTTTTTTTTTTTTTAATTTGTGTACTAATGCACAGGGAGTCGCCGTGGTGTAGCGGCTAGGTGCTCACCTGCAGATCAGAAGGCTGTGGGTTCGGGTCCTGACAGTATCGGACTTCTTTCAAAAATGACCCTGGCTCCCAGCTGGACCAAGCCTTGAATGGGTACCAGGTGGAGTCCTGGGCAGTAAATGCGGCCGGCAGGCATGATGCTGACAATTTCACCCACAGAGTGCCGATTAGTCTATAAAATATAGGTCTAGCTGTATATGCCAATATGCTGATGGCGTGGAAAAGGTTCCTAATTTTTTTTCCATTTTTTTTTTTTTTTTTTTTATGTTAACTTACTAATGCATGCCATACTGTGTTGTTCTTGTTTATACTATATAGATGATTTACAGAGGGTTTCCTCTGTTCAGGATATGTTTAGGATATACTTCTCCTGCATTTGGTCTTACAAGGACGGATGGCAAATTGTATTGTAGATTACAGCTAGTCTGGATGTCTGCACCCTTTTGACCCAAACACATCTGATTTCACTTAATCTTTTACAACATGCTTGTTTGGTGTGGTGGGTCTATTCTTTCCCCCTAAAATGGGGTCCTGGAACCCACACATAGATTTAAGATATAGCTAGGTAAAGTAATGTTTGTCCGCGATTGAAGGAGTTAGGCCATCCATACTAGCTTTTTATGACGGTGAGACGGACGCAGCCGCATAGAGTGAACCTTTTTAAAAGTAACGTAAATGACCCTTGTAAAAGTAAAGTAGAGGAACATTTTCCATGCATTCAGGCATATATAGTGCAGGACCTATATTTTATAGACCAATGGGTACTCAGTGGGAGAAGTGGTTAACATCACATCGGCCGTCTTTACTTTCCAGGACTTTATCTGGTACCCATTTAAGCCTATATCAACCTGGAAGCCACTGTAATAAAAAAATTTAAAAGTCAGGCTCCTTTCTGATTTGAACCCATGACCTTTGGATCTGCAGGTGAGCGTCTAACCACTACCCCATGGTAAACATAGAATGGGTACTTGATACTTTCTAGAAAAATATTTGGTGCTATCCTAATAACCTACCTAAAACAGGGGAAATCCCCAGGTCACGGGACAGTCTAATATTTCAGGCGGTGGTAGATAGGCTTCATGCAGTTGTTGGACCGAGGCTGCATGCAGGCTACTCTCTCTCTCTTAGGACGTAGGTGCGTTCGGGTTAGGGCCAGTTCTAGATGTTTTGGGATCATTAAAAGCTTCAGAAAGCCAGGAAACCAGTCTTACCACTTTCTAAAATGTGGGACTGTCCTGTGACGTCATCTGTAGTAGGATATTAGGAAAGATCCTTTGAAGTCGGAGTGCATCTGCCGGAGAGGCAAGGAACCAACAGTCTGTATTCAAGAGAATGAGATCTGTAAAACTGATGCACACGCAACACTCAGGTTCTGGAGCAGGACTGCAGTTCAGTAGTGGACGAGCAACCAGAACCTTCCGCCAGAGTTTACAGCTGGTGAACGTGAAGAAGAAGAAGAATTAGGAAAGAACAAAACATTTTTCTGGAAAACATATAGCAATGGACATTGTTCATTTGACATAATGTATGTTCTCTTCCTGATTTCCCCCTCTGTAAAACATGGTCCATGGCATCCTACTCCCACAAATCTATCTCAATATCTGTATCATTTATATGCCCCATGCACACATCATTTTACTGTAGTAGAGGTCAACCTCGATATCTTCTACTCATTTGTAGTTCACCATACTATGTTTAGTGTTTATTGAAACATTGTTTCCGGTATTAAAATATTTCTTTAATATTATACAGACATATACTGGAGACACTCTCACATGCAACCGTACAGCTGCTCAAGAAGCCGCTAGAGCATATATTCTTGAAACGGGGGACATAGACAGTGAGAGTCCTGAATCCGAAGAGAAGTCTGAGGAGGATAAATCAGGTATTAAGAGTCATTTCTTCTTCATTTGTTAACAAGATTGCTTCATTTAGTGACATCATCACCTGCTTCTGTGTTCGTGGTTGGTACGTTGTACTGTGGTTTACAGCAAGGCTGCAGTATCTGTACCTGTTGGCCTCATGCATCTGATTTTAGCTAACTAATGGGAATGCTCAGTGTGCAGTGACGTTGACTGATATAATATGACAAAAGATTGCTATCAAAAAATGTTCCGAATTTTCTGGAAAGGAAAGGTATTGACAAAGAAAACTTGCCACCACCACTTAATGATGTCAGGACATGGTTATTTGGGAATCCTCTAAAAGTCTTGAGTTTTAATTTTAAAGTCCTGCACGTTGGCAAGGAGCCACAGTAGTGTAGTGGCTAGATGCTCACCTGCTGGCCCAAACGTCTAGGGTTCAGACCCAGATTAAGGCAAATTTTTTTTTTTTTAAAACTGACTCGGCCTAAATTGGGTACAGGTAATATCATGGGAAGTAAGGTTTTTTTTCCCCCGGATACATCACCCATTGAATGCCGATTAGTCTATAAAAAATATAGGTGCGCAAAAAGTGTGAAAGGGGTCCATAACTGTCACTCTCTCTCACTCTCTCTCATTTTCACTCTCTCTCATTTTCTCGCTCTCTCTCTCTAATTCTCTATCTTTCTCTCGCTCTCGCTCTCTCTCTCTCTCTCTCTCTCTCACTGGAAGAGAATTAGAGAGAGGTGAAAATTATAGAGAGAACATTGTGAGCTGCAGACACTATCAAAGGATAGTTCATTTCACCTGAGTTGGTTGAGTGCCTATGCTTCATTGAAGAGTATAAGACAGACTTAGACACATTGATATTCAAATCATCTGAGGCTTAGAAAGGGCTTGCATATTTTATAGGGAGGAATCAACAGTGCTAAATACAACAAAGCATAGGATGTGATACCACAGCATCCAGTGTGAGAATGGAGATGAAGGCAGGCACCACAGCTTTCTGCTGGCTTGAGAACTAGCTGCACACACATTTTATGATTGTAACTGACTCACAAAGCTTGAGACAGACATGCTGCATGCAGAATGGCACACATCGATTCATAGGCCCTGGGTAGTTAGCATCCTTTGGATCTTTTCATGCAGGTACTTGTGTTCAGAAGTAAACTGATTGACAATTTTGTTGTGAATTGATGCATATCTAAGTATGGTCAAAGCCCAATTGGAGGAAATGACTAGTTCAGCAGCATGAATAGATCATTACTGTCTGAAGAGAATTAGACAGCAGGGAGTGACCAGTGGATCCGAACAACATTTGACACTCACAGGAAACCAAAACAGACATATAATGAAACTGCAATTGGTAGCATAAGAACTGGACCACTGCACTGGATGCTTACCAAAGTGCTTATGAAAATGTCTCAAGTGTTATGATGTTGGTTTTAAAATAGCTAGTGAGGCTGATGCAGAGACCTTTCTCTTTACTTGATACCAAAATACCTTCTTTAGAGTCTGTGTTAAAAAACCTGACACCTTGAGGGAATGAGAGAAAAAGAAGTAGAAAAAGAAGTAGAAGAAGAAGAAGTAAACAGTCCTGTTTCATTCCTTGAGATTTTTGTTGTTGTTTGTTGAAAGTTCACGTTTGGATGCTGACCCTACATTAAATAGACCTATCAGTACTCTGCTGGGAATGTGTGCACTTTTCTGGTTGTGTTACCTTTTTTTTTTTTTTGTTTAAATAAAATTCCTTCCTTGATAAAAATTCACCCCGTGACCCACCAGGTAGGCATGCTAATCTCTCAGCTACCATGGCTCCCATCCAGATGCAAATCTTCTCATATATTTTGCTTCTTCTTCTTCTTCTTCTTCTTCTTCTTCTTCTTTAGCATTCTGAGCTCTTGAGGGTCATTGATGCAGATATCACCCCCCCCCCCCCCCATTCCACTCCCTTGTTCTTTTGTTTGATTGACCTTGTCTTTCAAGTTGGTGATTCAAGTATTTGTCTCTGTTCTCTGCCATTCTCTGTGTATACCCTAACCACTGCAGTCAGAGGGATATTAAGGCATAATATATGCCACTTGATGATATTGAACTGCACGGTTCAGATATAAAGTAAAGGATCCTTTTTCGCGCCTTCAGGCATGTATTGGGTATATAGGGCTAGACCTATATTTTATAGACCAAATGGCACTTGGTGGGTGATGTGGTCTGCATCAGCCGGCCACCTTTACTTCCCAAGACTGCACCTGGCGCCCACTCAAGGCTGGGTCGACCTGGGAACCAAGGTCATTTTTGAAAGAAGTCTCACTCCCCTTTCCCGAACCCACGACCTTCCGATCTGCAGGCAAACGTCTAGCCACCAGACCATGGGACCCCTCTAAGGTTCAAATATATGACATGACAATATTTATGTGTGAAATATTGGCCTATAGGCTCACAAGGACATTTGTTCTGTTTATGGTCAGATGAGATAGCAGAATCGGATACCGTAACAAAAGATAAGATCCCTATCCTGGCTGGGGTTTCAGTGCCAGATCCGGTTTTCTTCTGTTCTATTGAGGCTGCCTCACTGAGCATGCAGAAGAGCCTAGATCTTGCCCTTGAGCAGCTGAAAAAGGAGGACCCAAGCTTAAAGGTAGTACTGTGTTGAAACTTGCTTAAAATCAAATCAGATAACCCATAACACCACTACTGAGTTGTCAGCTAATCAGAAGCCGTCTCCACATTGAAAATTGGCTGCAGTGGATCTTAACAATGCTGTTATCTGCATGACTGGGTGGTGAATTGATACATGACAAGGCAGATGTGGTCAAGGCCCTCTGGGAACAAGCAACGGAATCAGTAGAGAAACAAGATTATTATGGTCTGGAGAGAATGAGGCACCTGGGTGTAACTAAAGGGTCTGGCCGGCTCACCAAAGGCAAGACGGACATAAAACCAGATTGTGACTGGTACCATCAGTATTGGAACTCTGCGCTGGCTGCTGAAGATGAGGACGGAGCACACATGGGAATCCCCCGAGTGCTGTGATGTCAGTTCTTGACTCAACTCAACAATGCTCTTGTATTTCTTCCTGGATGTACACTCTCTCAGACTGCTGCTCATCCATCTCTTGATGTTGGCTGGCCACTTATGTCATGGTCTGCCTTCTGCTTACTCGCCGTAAGCTTTTCCCTTCACTATGGTTTTTATAGAACTATTTTAATTTGGCCATCTGTTTCCTTTGTCTCTTGTTTATTTCATCAGCAACCCTCTTTATTGATTCCTAGTCATCTCAGAACCTTTGTATTTGATTGTGTTTGTTTTCATAAAATGTGATCTATTCGTCTATATACACATATCGTCCGGCTTTCTAGCGTAGTTGGCTAAACCGGACTGCGCGGTGACCGGGTGACGAACTCTGTGTGGTCCGGGTTCATGCCCGGGGGTAGGCAGAAAAGCCACATTTCTCCCAGATTTACGGTATTTATCATGGAATCAAGGCCGAAGGGTTGCGATATCCTTGATACCGAGCCTAAGGACAACTTATGGCTTCTATTTACTAACAAAAAAAAAAAAAAATACACATATCAAGAGATTATTACAGTGTAGGAGTACACAGAGGGAAGCATCTACACTTAGTGTTAGCTAACAGGTATCTCAGTATTTCACATAGCAAGAAATGTTCTTGCTATGGTCTGCCAAAGAACACTTTGATATAATGTTGCTAGTTGCTGTTTTAGTTCTTTTCTTTATATTTTTATCTTGAAGTGCTTGATTTGGAGCAGTTATTGGTGAGCTCAACTCTCCATCCTTTCTGTTATCTGATATTGCTTATATTATTTGTTGTTCAGTTGTTTAAACTTCTCGGTACATGTTCTTTCTCGTTTCTCTTTTCTTTCTCTTGCTTCAAGTGTTTAAATTTCTCTGTATGTATCTTTGCTTGTCTCTCTTTTCTGTCTCTTCTTTAGCATTTCCTACATCAGAATATTTTTTTCTTTACCACATTTTCTTTTAGGTTGCCTCACGTATTTAATTTTCCTTTTCCTCATATTTTTATACTGCCTTCAGTATTATCTTTTCTCTCCATGATATTTTCAAGATCTCAAGATATTCTTGTCAAAGATCACTTCTCTGCTACCTCCATTTAATTTACTTTTGAGCAGCACATCCACATATTTGCTAAGAGTGCAAGAATTTGGAGTAAAGATCAGCACAGCCAGGCACGAGAAGCACACCAGACACACGAGAAGTCTTGTCTACCAACACAGGACTGGAACCATCAACCGCAGGATGCTGATGTATTTGTTGAAGGGGGAATCTGAGCATCTGTGGACGTGTCCAGAGTGCTGTGAAGATAACCCAAGATAACCCAAATCATAACTCATAACTTACTCTTGGCTATAAGAATTGATAGGACATTCCAGGCAAAACCAGAGATGCTGTAAATTTTACTCAGCAAATTCCATAAGCTGTAGATACTGTTCGTTCCAGTAACACACTGATTGAAAACCTTTTGAATTCAACATCATTTATATCCTGCCTTTACTGGAACCACACATAAATATAGACAGTCTCTAACTATGTTGTTTTACTTGTCATTCTATCTGCAACCAGTAGTTATTTATAGTCTTCCTAACATCTGCTTTGAGGATCATTTTCCAACGGCATTCTTCAAGCTGACAGACCTGCTGACTCATTGCCTCACATTCTAGTTTGACCAGACATTATATCCATGTTCTATCATGTTGTAGTGATGGATACAGTCATCTAAAACTGATTAAATTAGTGTGAAGGAACAAGCTGTATCATACAAATCTATCATGTTCTAGTGAAAGATACAGTCATCTAATACTGATTATACTAGCGAAACGAAACATAGTGTATCATATAAATCTATCATGTTCTAGTGATAGATACAGTCATCTAATACTGATTATACTAGCGAAAAGAAACATAGTATATCATATAAATCGATCATGTTCTGGTGATGGATACCGTAATCTAATACTGTTTAAACTAATGGAAAGAAGCATACCGTATTCTATAAATCTTTCATGCTCTTGTGACGCATACAGTTTATTCATCTAATTCTTCTTCTTCCTCTTTTTCTTTTCTTCTTCTTTCATTCACTTGAATTATATTATCTTTATCTCATTGTTGCCTCTTGAAAGAATTTTATTGTCTTTTGTAATTAACTCAGCGACCTGTAAAGTTTTGCTTCAACCAGTGTTTCTCTTGGCCAGAAGTTTAGCCTTGATACTGATTAACTTTTGTAGAAAGAAGCATGCTGTATCATATAAATCTATCGTGTTCTAGTGATGGATGCTGTCGAGTCAATCTAATACTGATTAAATTAGGGAAAAGAAATATATGCTATATCACAGAAATATATCATTTTCTAATGAAGGATTCAGACTAGTCATCGAATGCTGATTAAACTGTTGTGGAAAGAAGTATGCTGTATAATATGAATCTATCATGTTCTAATGGTGGATACAGTGATCTAATAATGATTAAATTGTTGTGGAAAGAAGTATGCTGTATCAAATGAATCTATCATGTTCTAATGGTGGATACAGTGATCTAATAATGATTAAATTGTTGTGGAAAGAAACATGCTGTTTTATATGAATCTATCATGTTCTAGTGGTGGATACAGTGATCTAATATTATTAAATTGTTGTGGAAAGAAACATGCTGTTTTATATGAATCTATCATGTTCCAATGGTGGATACAGTGATCTAATATTGATTAAATTGTTGTGGAAAGAAACATGCTGTTTTATATGAATCTATCATGTTCTAGTGGTGGATACAGTGATCTAATATTGATTAAATTGTTGTGGAAAGAAACAGGCTGCATAATATGAATCTATCATGTTCTAGTGGTGGATACAGTGATCTAATACTGATTAAATTGTTGTGGAAAGAAACATGCTGTATCATGTGATTCTATCAACATCTTGCAGGTTGAAGTTAATGAGGAAACAGGCCAGACAGTTCTCTCTGGTATGGGTGAGTTACATCTGGACATCATTAAGTCGCGATTAGAGAAGGAGTACAAACTGGAGGTTGAACTGGGACCTTTACAGATTGCATACAGGGAAACAATCCTAGATGATGTGGGTAAGCACATAATGAATTAATTTGAACCTCCTGCTTCTTTGTCTTCTCCAGTTTCATCGCAATGAACAGCAACGTCCAGAAAACCTGGATATACTGAGAATGCAATATCATATGAATCTGTCATGTTTTAATAAAGGATACAGTCTAGTAGTCGGCTCTGTGGCTAAGTCGATGCGAACGTTTCGTAATGCCGGGATGCTGGGTTCGATCCCAGCTGTGAGCCATGCGCCTTGCGATTGGTTTGGACAGTGGTATCAAGAAAGCCGACCGTCCAGAAAGCAATGGCAAACTACTGGACGTGGATTTGCCTAGAAAAACCACACAACAGCCAGGGGCTGTTGAGGTTGGTTCTGCAACGTCCTGTAGGAATACACAACTAACCATAAACAGTCTAGTAATGTCATATAGATGAAACTATAGTGGAAACAAACATACACTATGTTATAAATCTATCATGTTCTATTGATGGATGCAGTCTATTAGTCTCATATAGATGAAACTATAGTGGAAACAATCATACACTATCTTATAAATCTATCATGTTCTATTGATGGATGCAGTCTAGTAGTCTCATATAGATGAAACTATAGTGGAAACAAACATACACTATCTTATAAATCTATCATGTTCTAGTGATGGATGCAGTCTAGTAGTCTCATATAGATGAAAACTATAGTGGAAACAAACATACTGTGTCTTATAAATCTATCATGTTCTAGTGATGGATGCAGTCTATTAGTGATGGATGCATAGTGGAAACAATCATACACTATCTTATAAATCTATCATGTTCTATTGATGGATGCAGTCTAGTAGTCTCATATAGATGAAACTATAGTGGAAACAAACATACACTATCTTATAAATCTTTCATGTTGTAGTGATGGATTCAGTCTATTAGTCTCATATAGATGAAACTATAGTGGAAACAAACATACTGTATCTTATAAATCTGTCATGTTCTAGTGATGGATGCAGTCTAATAGTCTCATATAGATGAAACTATAGTGGAAACAAACATACTGTATCTTATAAATCTGTCATGTTGTAGTGATGGATTCAGTCTATTAGTCTCATATAGATGAAACAATAGTGAAAAGAAACATACTGTATCATATACATCTATCATGTTCTAGTGATAGAGAGGTGACTAAGGGTGCAGCTGGGATTTGGGGTTGGCTACTTCATTCAATAAAACAAAAACAATAGCCATAAAACACAACCAGCATTGAAAAGTAAAAAAGTGAAACATGATGCCAAGATGGGGAAAAGAGGGAGGGGTTCTCTTTTAATAGAAGTATTATTAGTCAGTGAGGAGAAAGCTGAAACGAAATGAGTCCTGTTTATCGCTGCATCTCCTTTCACTGAGAATCATCTCCAGAATTGGCACCTGGGGTGTTTGAATATTATAAAGATGTGTGCGTAGCAAAAGATAGAACATGAGAGTTGGTTGAGAGCCTGTGAACATTCTTTTTATCATAACAAAGTATTAAATATGAACTTCTTTTTTTTTTTTAAAAAAATAAATACTGTTTTTACTATGCACAAAGTCCTAATTACATCATCTCTTGTGTTAAGTTTTGGAGTTTTACATAGTAACAACTTTGCTTTGTTTCATTCTCAGAGGTTACAGAAACATTAGAAAGAGATCTTGGTGGAAATCGTCAGTTTGTACATATGAGGTTATCATTGCATCCTGATCTTGAGGATCGAGATTTCAAGCATGTTGTATTGCAGCGTTCTCATGATCATCCATTGGTCATTAGAAGCACTGTACTCAAAGCCATAGAAAGTGGTATCAGATCTGGTCTAGCAAATGGTGAGGCTCTCTCTAAATTATATATGTATATTTCTGTCTGTTTCTCTCTCTCTCTCTCTGTGTCTGTCTGTCTATTACTCTCTGTGTATGTGTGTGTGAGAAAGTAAGTAAGTAAAGGTTCCTTTTCCACGCCTTTAGGCGCTTCGGGCTAGACCTATATTTTTAAAGATCAATCGGCACAAGATGGGTGATGTGGTCAGCATCACACCGGCCGCCTTTACTTCCGGGATCGCATCCAGTACCCACTCAAAGGTTTGGTCGACCTGGGCGTCGAGGACAGCGACTCAAGAGAGAGAGAGAGTATATTTGCATCTCAGCTGTTAGAAGTGTATGCTGTAGTCGTGGCAAGACATAGTAAACAATAAAAATGATCTAATCCAAATACATCTGATATCTTTTTTATGACATGTTTGTTAAGGAGTAGTGGATCTGTTCTGTTTTGTGTATCACCTGAAAATGGAGCCCCAGAACCCACTCTGGAAAGTTTTTTTGTTTCTAATTTTTAATACATTTTTTTGACTGTTTAAAAAAAAAATTTCAACATTTTTTTTTTAAATGTGTGGAGACATTCAATAATGTATTGATATATTTCCTGGATCGTTTCACAAAAACTGTGGATGAAAAGCAGGCTTGTGAAGTTAACTGTTGAAGACCAACTTTAGAATTCATTGGGTCAAGAAGACAAAAATTACTGACATTCTACGTAATCTGCATACAAAGGAAAACTTCATGAACAACAACACTGTTTGAAACTACAATACTGACCACATCAAACATCACACTGATTAATAAAGAACATTGTGCTGCCCTGTGGCTTAGAGGATAGTGAGCATTTTAAACAATTTCACGATCCTCAAGTATTAGGGTTATTTCTGCGGCTGACTGTGTATTAAAAAAATCCTTTAACTTTATGAGTCCCAAGGAACGCCTCATACGTTCAGATTCCTACCTAGAAGCCCAATGAATGCAAGATGGGCCGATTTTATGTCTTTCTGACTACCCCTAGGGCTTGTGATGCCAAACTCCCTGGGACTCATAGAGTTAAAGTGGTTTTCAGAGAGTGGTGCAAGAGTAACCATCCTTCATTGTGGAGACGGCACATTATTTTTTTGAGGGAGCAAATTTTTTTTTTTTAAATATGTTCCGTGTTTTATTTTTACCTTTAGAACAAATGCCCCTTTGTTTTGCAGGTTGTATCCTGAACTTTCCTGTGATACACACCAGGGTACACTTGCATGAATTTGCCACACACCACCACACCACGCTGCCCATGATTACAGGCTGTGCTGCCTTGGCTGTGCAGAAAGCTCTCAGGGAAGCGCAGAGTGTTCTGCTAGAGCCAATGATGGCATTAGAGGTGTGTAATTTTTGTGACAGAAAAATCAGAACAACAGAAAAAAAATGTCTATGATGAATCCTACATGTAACTAGAAGAGGCAAGATCAGAAATGAAAAAATCAGAAAAGAAGTTGGGATGGAACCAGTACTGAACTGCATCAAGAGACAGCAGATCAAATAGTTTGGACATATGTCAAGACTACCACCAATTAGTGCACCACAGAGCGCCCATTCACTTAAACATAATGGAAGCAGAGCTACAGGTCGACCATGCAAGCAATAGTTAAGTAAAAAAAAAACCCCATTAATGGTCCCTTTTCCACGCACCATGCAAGCGATGGTAAGTAAAAAAAAAACCATTAAAGGTCCCTTTTCCACGCCTTCAGGTGTATAGGGCTAGACCTTTATTTTTATAGTCCAATCGATACAAAATGGGCGATTTGGTCAGCATCATGCCGGCCGCCCTTACTTCCCGGGACTGCACCCGGTACCCACTCAAGGCTGGGTCGACCTGAAAGTCAAGGTCATTTTTTTAAAGAGTCCGGCTCCGACTGGGAGCGAACCTGCGACCTTCCGATCCGCATGCGAGCGTCTAGCCGCTACGCCACGGCGACTCCCGCAAGCAATGGATAGATGGTAAAATGAGGCCAAAAGTACCAGTATGTGCGTAGCACATACGAAGGCTCGCACCCAAAACTGGACGCTGAAAGGCGGAACAGAATTAGAGAAGAAGAATTATATGACTTGCAATGTGACTTGGGTGCTGCAGCAGCACAGTGGCTAGATCCTAGCCTGCCAGACTGCTTTTTTCTTCTGCCCCCTCCAGTGGTCCATCGGTGTATATGTATGTCCATTCGGGTTTTGGGTAAGAGTTGTTGACATGTTCAAGGGTCTTTGCATGCAGTATTAGGCTACATTCTTCAGCCTTTCTGTCTATGCCTAGGATTGTTGTTGTGGCTGTATAGTTAGGTTGTGGGTCTATGCTGTATTCCTGGATCATTTCCCACGTTTAAGGATCTTTAGAAAGGATGTCACTGTTTTTTGCGTAGTAACAATATTGATAGATGGTAAAAGCTTTATTTTTAGTTGAGTTGTTTGCCATTCTGTGCATGGGGGTTGTTGTTCATGCGTTTAAATTTTTCTGTTAGGGTAAGCACCTTTTCTTCCCTTTGATGTCTCAAACTCTGGAGACCGGAAGTTGCCTCCAACTCTTTGATTAGTGTGCTTCTTATACCCCCAGTAATTATTCTGAGACCAGTGTTCTGTATTTTGTCCAGTTTGTGTAGATTTGATTTGGCTGCAATGGAGTATGCCTTTATATTCAACATCACAGTTACACACACAAACAATATAGATTCTCTCAAAGGCCCTGGTTACACACAAACAACATTGATTCTCTAGAGGCCCTGGTTACACACACAGGCAATATTGATTCTCTCAGAGGCCCTGGTTACACACAGGCAACAATGATTCTCTCACAGGCCCTGGTTACACACAGGCAACATTGATTCTCTAGAGGCCCTGGTTACACACACAGGCAATATTGATTCTCTCAGAGGCCCTGGTTACACACAGGCAACAATGATTCTCTCCGAGGCCCTGGTTACACACACAGGCAATATTGATTCTCTTCGAGGCCCTGGTTACACACAGGCAACATTGATTCTCTAGAGGCCCTGGTTACACACACAGGCAATATTGATTCTCAGATGGCCCTGGTTACACACAGAGGCCTTGGAGGCATAGAAATTTTAAAAAACCACATCAAAATGTAGCTAGAAAGTTAAGTTAACAAAATGGAGAGACATGGGACTGAGCTGCATGGGATTGCAAAGGATAGGGTGACTTGACCTGAGCTGCACGGGATAGCAAAGGATAGGGTGACTTGACCTGAGCTGCACGGGATAGCAAAGGATAGGGTGACTTGACCTGAGCTGCACGGGATAGCAAAGGATAGGGTGACTTGACCTGAGCTGCACGGGATAGCAAAGGATACGGTGACTTGACCTGAGCTGGTTAAGGGTCTGTACTCCACTAAGGCATGAAGGGCAGAAGAAGAAGTAGAATGTTAAAAAAGCCAGTGCCAATTAATTTTTTAAATTTTACTTTTTTTTATAAAAATGCTTTTACTTGCCATTTTCTTATACCAGCTGTACCTAATGTTTACTTAAATTTTAAAATATGCAACATATATATGATCTTTTTTATATATTTGTATTCACACAGATCACCACAGATGATGAGAAACTAGATGTGGTCTTATCGGATTTGAGTAAAAGACGTAGCCACATATTAGATGTGGCATTTAGACAAAATGCTAGAGTCATTAGTGCCCTCACACCCCTGAAGGAACTAATGGGGTTCTCCACTGACCTCCGAACCATCACCTCAGGCACAGCTACCTGCACCATTGAATTATCTCATTATGAAAAAATGAGTAATGATGAAATACAGAAAGTAACTGAGCAGATCTCAGGCTTTCATTCTTCTTAATGTAAATAACCTGAGTTCAAATATATTTCTATAACCATTTTTGGTTTAGAATGTTGGAATCTGCATATACATGTTAAATGACATTTGGGGGAGGGGGGCTGAGTGATCTCAAGGAATGGCGTCCACCTCGAGTGCTGGAGGTCCCAGATCCAGGCTGGAATATTTTCACTTGAACTTCTGGTAATTATCCCCCTGGTCTCTGGGTAGTAAGACGGGATGCCTTTGTGTATTGTTGCACATGTAAAAAAATCCCTTGGTAGTTGAAAATTGAAAAGAGTAGCCTAACAGTGCTATCCAGGTTAAAATCTACCTAAAGAAGTTAGGGTCCTCACTGGTACTACGGAGTTCGTGCACTGTGCTGAGATTCTTTGGACTTGAGGCTTCAGTTAGAAGTAGAAAGGTTACTACCACTGTGTCATGATGTTGATCCATTGTTCAAATCAAACCAAGTATATATGACATTTATTATTTTCTGACCGAGTATTAGAGAAGAATATCAGAGTGTGTACAAGTGGGGCAGGAATGATGCAGGTGTTGACGTAGAATTGTGATAATAAAATGCTATGGATCCTGTTGCATAAAAGGGAGGGGGGGGGGGGGGGATGGAGAATCAGGAAGGAAATGGGAATGAAGATAATAATGACTGCATTTAGGTTGAGAGCTGAACATTGAGAAGAAGCCTATTAAATGCATGTGGTAGCAACAACAGTCTTGAAATCTCATGCTCTAATTGTGGAAGACATTTCTTAACAGGGGTAGTTCTTGGTAGTCTCCCCATAGTACAGTGTAACATTGTTGTTTGGAAATATGGAAGGGTGTCAACAGTTAGAGGAGAAATTTAATATCAAGATCGTTCAGATGGTGTTGCTAGCTGTAGTAGCCATTAATGTGCAAAATTTGATTTATTGTAATTGATCAGTTTTATTTGTTTGTTAATCTTCTCATTGTATTTTCCAAACCACTAGCTGACATATATTTCATTGAGTAATTGTTTTAGTCAGAAAACTAGAAAATATGGCTTTCTAATTGGTTTAGTCAGAAAACTAGAAAATATGGCTTTCTAATTTATTTAGTCAGAAAACTAGAAAATATAACAATATATGATTAGAAAATTTGGAAAATAGTCTCTGTTGCTGTAAGCTAAGAGCTGCAAACTGGGAGTTAAAGCCACCAGGGCTGTTTAACCCAGTCTCTCTGCAGAGACTAGCCGCCTGCTGAGAGCCTTACACAAAGTATGAACTACATAGCTTCAGCGATGATCTCTGTAAAAATTGCTCTCTGTTCTTGAACAGTGTGTTCATGAAATAAACACAGGACATTCAGAGCGCAAGAGAAACAGCTGGACAATTTTGCCAAGGAGACTTTTTATTTATGCAAGAGTCACCTTTCTCAGCGGTGATGGCAAGCAGTCAACACTCGGGCCTGGTCTTATTTACAGGGAAACACTGTATCTTCACTTTGTGAGCTATCAGTGCTAGGCTTATTCAGTGTTGTAGGTAAGCATATTTAAAGTAAAGGACCCTTTTCACACCTTCAGGCACATAGGGCTAGGCCTATTTTTTGTTAATTAATTGGCACTCAGTGGGGGATGTGGTCAACATCACACTGGCCACCTTTACTTGCCAGAACATACCTGGTACCTGTTTAAGGTTGGGTTGACCTGAGAGCGAAGTTATTAAAAAAAAAAAAGTTTGGCTCCCTCAGGAACTGAACCCACAACCTTCGGATCCACAGGCAAGCTTAGGTAAGCATATAGCCTGGATCATTGTAACCACTATTTTTTCATGCTTAATTGATTAGCTAGCCATTTTATTGTCTGTTGAATGCTCTATGTAATAAGCTTATATGATCAATAAACTGACAAGGAAAGAATACATACAGTTCATTGTTGAATTATAAAATAATCAATAGATAATAAAGTGTTCAGTGATAAACAGAAGTGTGTTTATTATAAATATTTTGTTGTCTTGTATGTATCTTGCTGTTTGTTTTTTCAGCAGTGTAAAAGAAATTGCAATAAATCTTTGTCATTGAAAGTTAGAAGAATCCTTGTATGTTCCATAAAACCTCTGTTAATAAAAAGGCTTTGAATTTTGGACCAGCAAGAAAATACATTAAGGCTATAGAAATGTGGTTTTACAAATGTTGAAAATACTGTAGATGGCTAAAATTTGTAACTTAATTGTTTTCAAAGCGGTTGAGACAGAACTAGTATATAACAATATCAGAAGGATGCTGTAAACAATTTTGCTTACATTGCAACAGTTGGAGGTGTTAATGAGAAAGGAGACATATTAATGATGATGACATAATTACATCAGGGTTGTAGGAAAATGATTATATTTCAAACAGTATCAAGGTGCATGAGCCACTGTGGTCCGGCCTTTATGTCTTCTTCTGAAAGTCCATGGCATGTGGCGTTGGTAGTCATGTCCGTCATATCTATCCACAACCTTCTGTCTCGTGTACTTTCATTCAAATCTGACGCAGATAATCCTCCATGCCATGATGTCAAACTGTCCAGCATCTTTTCTCTCAGTCTCTCTCTGCCTCTCCTCCCCTCCAACTTTCCTACTATCACAATGTAGTCCAGTTTTCTTCTTCTCATCACCTGACCAAAGAATGTAGATTGTCTCTTTCTAATGTGGGCCATCAGTTCTCTTTGTGAGTCATTTTCGGTCAAGACATCCTTATTACTCTTTTAATCTGTCCAGGGTATTCTTATCATCCGTCTATAAAACCACATCTCTGCAGCTTCCGAATAATTTTTCTCTAATCTATCAACTTTCATAAATCAATATAGGATTTATATACAGCTTTTAAGAATTCTCTTTCTTGTCTTAACTGACAATGAGAGATTACATAAAATCTTCATTTTGTAAAATGCTGCCTTTGAGCTATTCTACATTTAACTTCTTTTAATACATCTTCCATCTGATGTTATCAGGGTACCCAAGTACTGAAATGTATCGGCTTGCATGAGGTTTGTCCCATTTACTTTGATGATGCATTTTTGAGGGTTATATGAGGCTAGCACTGTATGCCTGATCCATCTCAAAGTGTAAAGGGTCTTTAACTCTAGTTCACTCATATTTTTCACAACTAAACAGAATAATTCACTTAGAAAAAAAAAGTTGACCATGTGTAACTTTTTTATTTTAATGCAACAACAGCGAATTTTTCAGTTACACACTGTCAACTTGCTAAGTCAGTCACAAAATATTGTTAGTACATGTACTTATTTTACATAACGCAAACATTGAGATGTCTTATCGCATCTCGATCCTTGCAGTGTTGAGGTAAAGTATAATTTACAGGAAAGCCAGTTCATACAGTCATCTCCTTGTGAGGTGCAATTTTTCGTTATTTGAAGCCCTACTCTGGCTCTTGCCAGGGGCCGCAATTTAGCCCGACCATAAATATGGTCTAATGGCTGAACGCGGTTTCTGGGACCTCTCCACGGTGATCCTCATCCACATGGTGGCACTCTGTGTCATTGGGTGTTTATCGCTTGTGTGATGTCCTGATGGGGTAAAAATCTACTAATACTACTACGACTACGGGAAAGCGTCTGTTTGCGTACTTTGTAAATGGTGATTCCCTGGGACTCTTGTAATTCCTTATGTCCATCCCTTGCACTGTCGATGTCTTCTTCACTTCCTGTGTGGTATGTGCATAACTGCTTGCTGGGGTATACTGTCTGCTGATATCCACATTTTATTTGGCTAAACCATTTCACCCATCCTCTTCTAATGAAATCCAGAGTTCTTGCTAACCCCCATTTTCCTTCAGATTTCATGGTTTCTGATATGATCTTTTCTTGTTATATTGGCAGTTCTTCACAGGAATCTCATTTTTCAGTTGTTGTAATTTTTCTTTTATCTTGTCCTCTCATTGCCCAGGTCTGGCACTGTTAACACAGGGTTGGCAAGAAGACTGTGCTCTTGATGTCTACAGATACATGTTTGTGATATCCATAGGTGATGTAACACACACTTTATTATTTCAAATTTGCACTAGATAAAAAGAATGTTGCCACATTTATGAAATTATATCACATTTTCAGAAATGTGACCAAGAATTAATTTATCGGCCTTGCTCTTCAGTACTTGAGTGACAACAAATATAGCTGTTTGGAAATATGAGAATTTTCTTCATCAGCATTCCGAGACCTTGAGGTTCATTGCTGCAGATATCACCCACCTCCGTTCATCTCTCTGGTTGGCCTTCTCTTTCCAGTTGGTGACATCAAGTGTTTGCAGGTCTGTCTGGATATTATCTCTCCATCGTCTTCTTGGTCTGCCTGGTCTACAACCATTCATCTCCCTTGTGTATAGTTTTCACTTCTCTGTTATCTGACATTCTCTCAATATGCCCCAACCATTTCAGTCTATTAGCTCTCATGATGCCAGTTACAAATGAAAATTTAAACAGATTATGAATTCCGTTGTTGCTTCTAACTCTCCATTCCCCGATGTTTGCATCTTTGATGGGTCCAAAGATTCATTGTAAGACTGTTTTCAAAAACCTGTAGTAAGGCTTCATCTCTTTTAGTTGTGCTCCAAGTTTTAGAGCCATATAAAACGATTGATCTTATCAACGTTTCATATATTTTGTTCCTGGTGTTGCGAGAGACAGAAATATGAGAATGATATGTATAATAAGGAGATGAGGGCATAAAACAAAATATATCTGGTCACTGCCTAAGGGAGACCAAGAAAACTAAATTATCATGCTAGACAACATCATTTTTGTTTTGTGTTGTTCGTCCATCATGAGTGATGAAGACCACGTGTCATCCAAAGTAGCAATGATCAATGATTACGTGTACGAATGTGGCTGCTTAGTCCAATATGAGCCTGGAAAGTTCTTGAGCAGTGCAGATAACAGGTGGATGCCGCAGTAAGGGTGGGATTAGGGATCTGCCTCCCTTTCTCTGTTTGTGCAACCTCCGCTGCCTGATAGGCTGATGCACCATGCCTGAGTCTTTTATTCTAACT